GGTTTACTTAAGAGTTAACTCCTAATCACCTTACTGGACTAAGCCCCCGATATTATGGACTAAGCGGTTGTCAAGCATGTGCCCCTTTCTCCCGAGAATGAGTTGGCGTCTTGGTTTGATCAATAGTTTGCAACCATGGTGCGTGGAGTTCTTATTCTGCTGCCCAGACCCAGGTTCTTTTGATTAACAGACCCCCCACGGGGCCTCCGTCCAACCAATCTTCAACTGACACTGCAGCAATTTCGTGGCCTCCCTGCCAAAACAAGGAAAATGAGCCTTCTTGGGCGACTTGGTTCGGGACCTCTGCGATTGGTCTGGAAGTCACCTAACCCGTCAAACCACAAAAAGCTGTTGTGGAAAGGAAAAGCGCTGGGGCAACACGGGAGATTAGAATGCTGAAATTTGGTTGGCGACCAGGATGGTGGAGATGGAACAACTGAAAACGAATGTGCGGGGGTAACTTGGGTAGCTTTGGCGGCGGGGAAGGAAGGCCCTTGAGAGTGTCGTTGACGAAGAACCGCTTGTCTGCCATGGGACGTGTGGTTGGTTGCGACAATTGCAGCGTCGACACCCTATCACTACCTTTCGTCAACGGGTTCGGTACGGACGTGTACACGGGAGGTTTCGCCAAAGTGGAGGTGTTTTTTTGTTCTTTGCAACCCCCCAAATAAAGCAAAGCGTGCTCGTCTTTGGAAAATGATCTGGATCAACAAAGCATTACAGTACCTACCGAGTTGAGCACCCTTTTCACAACTCTTTCCGTTCCATTCAGGGCCATGTCTGGAAAGAGTGGTCCTGAGGCCCACTTGGAGCAAGGTCACGCTGATCCATGTTGCTACACTGCTTGAATCTGCTGCTGATTGGTGCCCTCCTTCCCTCACAGCTCATAGGGGTATGGTGCCAGATGTGACAGCGTTTGGAAATGTTTTTTGTAACACCATAGAAAGGTTATGCCACGGAGTCGCATTACGCACTATATGGTTTCACAAAAAATACTCCATGAATACAACACAAGAGTACAACCATGTTTGAACCAAGTATGGCACTCTATAGGCTATTATTACCCCATATTGAACATTTATGATAACAACACAATGCACAACAATTCGAGTGCTTGACGCTTCAAAGCTCTCCTCAATAAGAGTGCTCCAAAGCATACCGTAGCACTCAAGCACCTCCACATCTTATTCCAAGACGTTGAAGTCACCTTGTGTGGTCTTCTCCAAAAAGGTAGAGCACCTTCATGCTTGTCTCCATGATTTATTACCAGAATACTCCAGTTCAATTTCACCCCATAACTATGTCATCCCCATCACCACCACAGCCCCAGAACAGCCCCATCAGATCTGCATCCATGCCAGTCCCACACACCTCATATGGTTCTTCTGCCTCCTTCCCTCCTGCTCCAATCCCCTCCTGACCTGAGGCCTCTTCCAAACGCGCGTCCTTGTAATGCACCTCCCCCAGGTGCGGAGGTCCCGCCTGGCGCGGCTGCTGCGCTTTTACCGGCCGCTGATGCGCCACCTGATGCGCCTGCAGAGCCAGATGCCCCTGGTGTTGCGCCTCCCCCAGACCCATCTCTCTCAGAGGAGCTTCCGCCGCGGCAGTCGCAGCCTCGAAAAAATCTTGCTGCCCGCCCAGGCTGCCCGAAAGCTCCTCGAAATCATCCAAGAACGTGCCGGAGAGATCGCCCTCCCCCCGCTGCGGGGAGGAAAGATCCGCAATGGGAGCTGCGCCCTCGCTGCCTATAGTATCCGCGGAAGCGGAAGCGGAAACGAGCTGCTGCTCTTCCGCGCCCCACTGGGACTTTTCTTCCGCGGGTGTCTCCATCATAGTTTGCGCGCAATGCGCGGTTTTCTGCGCCGCTTCCATCACATTCCCCTTCTTTTGATCACCTCGCTCCGCCTGCTGCCGGGTCTTGTCCGTGCCCGTCTGATGCGGCTGGACATCGGTGCTTCTTGGCTTTGCTTTTCTCTCGTCCGCGTTAAGGAGATTCTCAATTTGCGTGATCTTGTTGAGAATCTTTGCAATGTGCAGCAGCATCTGCGCGTAGTCCCCCTTCAGCAGCTCATAGTCGTTCCGCATCTCGCAGCACTGCTCCGCCAATCCCGCGTGCGCCGCGCGCATCTTCCGCAGCTCCGCCTCCCCCTGCTCCGCCTGCCACTCCAGCTGCCGCGTCTGGAACCACGCGGAGACCTGTCGGGGGAGAAGCCCCAGTTCCGCCGCGAGCTGCCACTGCCGCTCCGCGGACACAAGAACTTGCCCCGCCGCCTGCGCCTTCTCCCCATGCGCGGATCCTTCCTGTGCCGCTAACGCCGCCTGAAGCACCTCCTCAAGCCGCTGCACCTGTGAAGGCTGCGCGCGCTGGCGCTTGCGCGAATCTTCCGCTGGCGCCTCCGCATGGGCGTTCGTGGGCTGCGCGGAAAGGCGGGGGGTTTGCGGAACGCGGGAGGGGTTTACAGGGCTGCTGCACGTGCTGTCGCTGTCGACCTCTTCAAGAAACAGCGGAGACGGAGGGGGCGTACGACGCGGGAATGCGGGGGTGGCGGAGAGGCACTGCGCGGATCGCAGCACTGAGCTTGGGGTCGGCGGAACGGCAAGCGGAGGCGCAAGGGCGTCGTCGTTCTCGTCCCATGGAGCCAGGCGGCGCTTGAAGCCGCGCGGGGCGGAAGAAGGCGTCTGCGGAGTGCACATCTCCGCGGAAGGGGGAGCGGAGATAGCGGAGGGTGGAGCGGAGAGAGCGGATGGGGGAGCGGAGAGAGCGGAAGGGGGAGCGGAGAGGGCGGAAGGGGGAGCGGAGAGGGCGGAAGGGGGAGAGGAGAGAGCGGAAAGGGGAGCGGAGAGAGAGGAAGAGGGAGCGGAGAGAGAGGAAGGGAAAAAAGACGCCGCGACCGCGTGAACCTTACGGTTTGCGGTTCGAATCGAGGGGGCGGAATTCAAGGGCATGGAGGGAGAAGAGAAGTTCTCCCCAACTGGGTTGGCATCTCGCGGACGTTTCGTGCCTCTCGTCATCGTAGCAGGGACGTTTGTCGCCGCGACGGCGCCAGCAGCACCTGTGGCGGCGGCTGTCTCCATTCTTGCGATAGCTAACATCGGCGAAGCGGTGGCTGCCGCCATGTCTCAACGGCCGAAAAAGTCTATGCGATTCAATGCGGAAAGCTTGTCGACAACATCTATTGAAAGATATCGGCGACGCCGGTTACACCTTCTGGTATTGGATTTTTCTACCTTTTCTCCCTACGGTCAAGAGACTCAAAAAACGAGATATAAACTCATGAATCATCTCACCCCTCCACTAATTCGAACGGGCGAGCATCAAGAAGCCACGTGGGAGGTCGTTTCAACCACCTCCTTCCTAAGATTTCAACGCAAGTGCCCAACATGGGGCTTGAAGCACTTGGCTTTTATGCCTCCAGTGAGCACAGCAGTTGTCAAGTGATGGAAAACACATGAGGGGCAGTTTAGGCAAGGCTCGGAGGGGCATATTCGTAGGCCGGGCGGGGCTGACGCTTCGGGAGGATACAGCTTCCGCGAATCAGAACGCGCAGGCAGGTACGGATGGAGGTTTCGGTACGACGAGCAAGCCTCAGTTGAGGTTTGTGATGGATCCAGGGGCGCAACAAAACACCGCACAACAGAGCCAGCCCCTGCCCCTGCCTTGTTGTGGTCGCTGTGCCCACGAAACACAACCTGGAATTTGTCCTGCGCGGCGAGTTTGATCTTCGGGGTTTGCGCTTCTGTTGGCGGGTGACATGCCGGCTCTGAGCCATGTGCGCGGCAGGTGACCACTGGTAAAAAGCGCTCCAGTCAACTTTTTGAATTTCTCGAGCAGCGAAAGCTGGCGAAACGGGCTTTTTGAAGGAAGGAAACGTACGGTTGCGGAAACCTCATTTGGGAAGGAAAATACTGTACTGTAGGAGGGAAGCGGAGATAAAAACAGAAACAAACAACAAAAATCATTTTGTGGCAGCTGAAAAGGGGCGACCATACGAAATCCACCCACCGCGAGTTGCGGCCAGGGAAATACAGTAATTGACCACGAAAAAAGGCACGGGGCCGAATCGAACACCCCGCCAAATGCGACACCTGCCAAGAAACCAGCTCGATCCGCCCTGCGCAGCTCGCGGCAAGGGCTTCCTCCCAAGCCGAGTAGATGTGTTTGTGGTTCGGCTATAGGTTCGAAAGAAGATCAGCCCTTCGGTCAGGTACGGATGGCCTAAGTGCGGTTTGATGTCCCCAAAGCAACCCAGATCTCTGACATTGTGCAGCGAGCCATTCCCATTGGCTTGCCAAATGACAACACAGAACCCCCAGCCCCCACGAGATTGGCATGGTTGCACCAAAATGCAATGTGCATGATTTACGGAAGAGAGAAATGAAGGGGAGTTGATTCTTGAAGATATTGTCGAGAACACGAATCATTACATGCCATCAAGGCTTGTATGGAGTATGTTCGCACTATAACCTGAGACGTACTCATCCCTCCACTCCCATATCGTTGACGTGGAAAGGCATTTCATGCACGTGGATATTCGCGAGGATGCGCCACATCAGCCATCTCCACACAATCAATTCTGAAATTTTATCTCGGTTTCATTTAGTTCCAAAGCGGTTGAAAGCGGAAACAGATCGGAAATCAGTACACTGAATGTGACTAGATGTGCGAACCACTTCACAAGAATCGAGTTCACTACCATCCCCTTTTCTGAACGGTTTGTATGTTGCATGAATTTTTCAAGGGTTGAAGGAAATGTTGAAGGCCACACCACCCACAGTGGTTTTAGCTCGCAAAACCCTGGGTTGACCATTAGGCTAAACACAAATCGGCCCTTTAGTATGATCCTCATTCCTGATCGCTCGCTATTCCCGTTCCACACCCACCCAAGGTCCTCTCAATCGTTTTTAAATATTAGGTCGCTTCCTCGCTCTTGATCCCGTCGGCTTGTCACACTATCGTGGCTCAAGACACTATCGTGAAACACGTTAAGGCGCGAGCAGAGATGGTCAGGCGTATCAGCGCGTCCCACATGTCCGATCTTTCCAATTTAGACGGGAAAGATGGCCCAGGCTTTGCATTGACTCTTCCAGGATTCGATCCCGCGTCTTTCGCCTCCTCCCTCCACAATGCCGTCGATCATCAGAAGCAGCGCTTCGATCGGTTCGTCAAGGCAAAATTGGGGAAGGTTCAACTGCGCCAGAAAACGACAAATGCATCGCAACTAGAAACGTCTCAGCCGGCTGTGCATTGGCCAATCAGGAGGCGAGGATCAACCCGAAGCGCGGTCGGTTCCGTCCAATTCGTTTCCAGTCCCCCTTTCGCCGCTGTCGCTGCCGACTCGCTAAAAGCACCCGCGTCTGCAGCCCCAGAGAAAAAAGACGGAGGCGCTTCGTCAGCGGAATCAGCGGCGGGAAATGCGGTGAAGCCGACGCTCGCGCAGTACCTGCGAAAGCCCATCGCGCTGTTCAGCTTCATCCCGAAAGACGCGGCGCTGTTCTTCGCCGGCGCCGTCGCTGGCGGCACGGCCAAGACGGTGACGGCGCCGCTTGACCGTTGGAAGCTCATGCTGCAGGTATGAGGAGGGTGGGGGGGGAGGTGGTGTTGGGGGGAAAGGGAGGGCGCGTGGGGTGGGGACCCGTATTTTGAGGCGCCTCAATACTCGCCGTCGCTGGCGGCACGGCGAAGACGGTAACGGCGCCGCTTGACCGTTGGAAGCTCATGCTGCAGGTATGAGAGGTGGGAGGAGAGCAAGGGGGGAGGGAGGAAGGGGAGGGAGAGGAGGGGAGAGGAGGGTGGTGGGGTGTGGGGTGGAGGGGGGAGGGAGGTGGGTTGGGAAAAGGTGGAAGATAAAAAGGGGAAGGGGGAATGTAAGTCTACATGTGCATGGTGCATAAAAGTCTTTAATAATGACGCTCATGGTGCATCCATGTGGAGCGCATTAAGGGGGTTGGGGCAGATCCTCGGACATTTTCCAGTGAGCGGCAGTACTTAGGTTCAGGCTAGAGCAAGTAGGAAAAGACAGTCAGGCTTCATACATGTGGAGCGCATTAAGGGGGTTGGGGCACTTAACAAGGAACGAGGACCTGAAGTCGTATCGCTGCGCGAACCGCCGCAGGTGTGTGCTTCGCTAGAAACTAATGCAGAAAAGGCCTAAAGGGACTAAAGGCTTTAAGGGATTAAACGCTTGAATAATAACTCTCTGTCTGAGAGGCCTAAGAGGAACTCTCTATCAGCCGGTGCTTCAATTCCCCGCTGCCCGCGTTCCTACCCTTCACCATTGTCCTTCAAATAAACCCCGCTAGTTTAGAAAGCTATAAACATACACCGCTATAAACATACACCGCTATAAACATACACCGCTACCCCGCATCTGCCTTCTCTCGTCCTCCTCATTTACTCCCCCACCCCCTCCCTCCCCTTCTTCCCCACCCACCCCCACCCTTCTTCTTCCTCTCCCGTTCCCCATTTACTCAACACATTCTTTCCTTTTTCCCGCCGTCCCCCCTCCGCCCCCACCCCACCCCATTCCCCCGTGTGTCTATCAGGTGCACAGCGTGCAGGTGCCTCAAGACGTCTTGAGAATCGTCCAACATTCCCTTTCTCCTTTCCCCCCCCCCCCCCCCCGCCCGGGTGTGTTTATCAGGTGCGCAGCGTGCAGGTGCCTCAAGACGTCGCCGCCAAGCCGGTCGGGCTGCTGGACGTGAGTATGGCTGTGCGCCGTCCGCGCATTGTTCCGCGTAGGCCTCGCCAATGTTCGCCTAAGCTCGCCGATTTATCGCCAGTGCTTTGTCAATGCGTCTTGTGCTGTTCGCTAACGTCCTGCCAATGGTGTGTCTGGCGCGCTTTCAGTTCAACCTCGTTTCTGACACTTGTTTCTGAGTGTTTTTTCACTTCTCCGAGCCGTATGTACAGTACACAGGAAAAAAAAAAAAAAACAACAACAACAACAACAACAACGTTTTTTCTTTCTGTTTTCCTTGTGTGAAACAGTCGTTCCTGGCGATTGGTCGTCAGGAGGGTGTGCTGGGCTACTGGAAGGGCAACTTGCCGCAGGTAGGGCGCCGTCTGGGTGGTCACTGGGGTCGGTCATAACTTGGTCACTTCTGTGTTATTTGTTATGAATTAGTTGTTGGTGTCCGCATGGCCCCAAGCTTCCTTTCTTTTTTTGCATGAACCCGTTTTTGTCACTCTTGGTTTGCATGTGATTTTTTCAGTTTCCCTGTGGACATGCAGTTGTTGTACGAACTTTTGGTTTCTACTGGATTTCCCTACCGCACTGCATTTATTCATCCCCCTACTGTCCCGTTTCGTCAGGTCATCCGCATCATTCCCTACAGTGCAGTTCAGCTCTTCGCGTACGAAATGTACAAGGTACGTTTCATCTCCTTTTCATCTTACAGTACGCAATCTCGTTTTGATTGAGAGCCGTTCGCTTATAACAACCTCAGACCAGCTGAAACTCTCTGTTCATTTGTTTATTTAACCTTTTCTTTTGTTCTTTCCCGTCCTGCCCATCTGCATGTTCTTATAACGGGTATGGGGTGGAGCAGAAGGCATTCCTGGGCAAGAACGGGGAGCTCTCGGTGCCTGCCAGGCTGGCAGCTGGCGCCTGTGCTGGCATGACGTCAACACTGGTACGTGTGTGTGTGCTGGCACGACGTCAACATGTGTACTTTTGTGTGCTCGCATAACACCAAATGTTGCCACGTGCATGCAATGTACTGATGTGCGGTCCATGCACTGGAGCATGTCTTTCGTAGAAGGCTTTTACATGTCCATTGTCCTCACATCACATGCAATGTCCTTCTCCAACCCATCCCCTCCCTCCGCTTCTCCAATGTTCCATCCCTTATCCCCTCCCTCCCCTTCTCCCGTGTTCCCTCCCTCCCCCTCTTGCCTCTTCCCTCCCACATCCCTCTCCCCCCTCCCTCCCCCCTCCCTGCCGGTCTTGCCCCGCAGATCTCGTACCCCCTGGACGTCCTGAGGCTGCGTCTGGCAGTGGACCCGGCGTCAAGGGGCATGCGCTCAGTGGCACTGGGTGGGCGTGATCCGCGAGGAGGGCGCGCTGTCGTTAGCTGCGCATTCTCATCTCCTTCTTCTCCCCGTCCCTCCCCCATTCTCCCCTCTCCCATCCCCCATCCTCCCCTCTCCCATCCCCCACACACAGATCTCGTACCCCCTCGACGTCCTGAGGCTGCGCTTGGCAGTGGACCCGGCGGCAAGGGGCATGCGGTCAGTAGCCATGGCAATGATCCGCGAGGAGGGCGTGCTGTCCCTAGTAATCGCACACCCAACCTCGTCCTACTTCCTCCTCTTCCCTCTCCCGCACCACGCAGATCACCTACCCCCTGGACGTGCTGCGTCTGCGTCTGGCAGTGGATCCGGCGTCCAGGGGCATGCGGTCAGTGGCCATGGCAATGATCCGAGAGGAGGGCGTGCTGTCGTTCTACAAGGGCCTCGCGCCCTCCCTCATCTCCATCGCTCCTTACATCGCTCTGAATTTCTGCGCATTTGACCTGTGAGTCCGCTGCTGTTATTTGCCTTGGGTGTGTGTGTGTGTGTGAGCGCCCTGCCATGTATGTGGCCATGGCAATGATCCGCGAGGAGGGCGTGCTGTCATTCTACAAGGGCCTCGCGCCCTCCCTCATCTCCATCGCTCCTTATATCGCTCTGAATTTCTGCGCATTTGACCTGTGAGTCCGCTGCTGTTATTTGCCCTGGATGTGTGTGTGTGTGTGTGTGTGTGTGAGCGCCCTGCCATGTATGTGGCCATGGCAATGATCCGCGAGGAGGGCGTCCTGTCGTTCTACAAGGGCCTCGCGCCCTCCCTCATCTCCATCGCGCCTTATATCGCTCTGAATTTCTGCGCATTTGACCTGTGAGTCCGCTGCTGTAATTTGCCTTGGGTGTGTGTGTGTGATAGTGTGAGCGCCCTGCCATGTATTTGGCCATGGCAATGATCCGCGAGGAGGGCGTCCTGTCGTTCTACAAGGGCCTTGCTCCTTCTCTCATCTCCATCGCTCCTTACATCGCTCTGAATTTCTGCGCATTTGACCTGTGAGTCCGCTGCTGTTATTTGCCTTGGGTGTGTGTGTGTGTGTGAGCGCCCTGCCATGTATGTGGCCATGGCAATGATCCGCGAGGAGGGCGTCCTGTCGTTCTACAAGGGCCTCGCGCCCTCCCTCATCTCCATCGCTCCCTACATCGCCCTCAACTTCTGCGCCTTTGATCTGTGAGTGGTGATGTTGCTGAGAGAAGTATGCCTTGGTTCTGGGAGAGATATGCCTTGGGTCTGGGAGTCAGTGCGAGCCCCACAACCCGCCCTCCCTCATCTCCATCGCTCCCTACATCGCCCTCAACTTCTGCGCCTTTGATCTGTGAGTGGTGATGCTGCTGAGAGAAGTATGCCTTGGTTCTGGGAGAGATATGCCTTGGATCTGGGAGTCAGTGCGAGCCCCACAACCCGCCCTCCCTCATCTCCATCGCTCCCTACATCGCCCTCAACTTCTGCGCCTTTGATCTGTGAGTGGTGATGCTGCTGAGAGAAATATGCCTTGGTTCTGGGAGAGATATGCCTTGGGTCTGGGAGAGATATGCCTTGGGTCTGGGAGTCAGTGCGAGCCCCACAACCCGCCCTCCCTCATTTTTATCGCGCCCTACATCGCCCTCAACTTCTGCGCCTTCGACCTGTGAGTGCCATGCTGAGAGCAATATGCCGTGGATCAGGTAGTCACTGCGAGCCCCCCTTCCCTCCCTCATCTCCATCACTCCTTACATCGCCCTCAACTTCTGTGCCTTCGACCTGTGAGTCGCCTGCTGAGAGCAATATGAGCACCCCCTCTGTGGGCTGTGCTGTGCTTCTGAGGCCCTTCTGAGCACCCCTCCCTGCTGAACACAGTGCAGTTCACTCAATACGGGACCCTACCCAACCCCCCATCCCCACCGGCACACCCCCTCCCCCTCTTCCCCTGCCTTTCCCCTCCCCTCCACCACCATCCCAGCATCAAGCGCTCGATCCCTGAGAAGTACCGCAAGACACCACAGGCGTCCTTTGTCACGGCTCTCTGCACAACCACGTTTGCAACGGTGATGTGCTACCTGCTCGACACGGTGCGGTGCGGCTCGATGGCATGTCCTTCCTATCTCAACCCACCCCCCTCCTCCCCCCACCGACACAGGATCAAGCGCTCTATCCCCGAAAAGTACCGCAAGACCCCACAAGCCTCGTTTGTCACTGCTCTCTGCGCAACCACCTTTGCAACGGTGATGTGCTACCCGCTCGACACGGTGCGGCGGCAGATGCAGATGAAAGGGTCGCCCTTCACCTCGGTGTTTGATGCCATTCCCGGCATCATTGCGAGGGATGGAGTGGTCGGGCTGTACCGGGGCTTCATTGCCAATGCCCTCAAGAACCTTCCTAACAGCAGGTGGGTGGGTGGCTGCTTGTGTGCTGCTGTTGACCTGTAACTCCCCCCCCCCCCCCCCCCGGTAATGTCGGGCTTTTGTAATCTTCGCTCTAAGCTCTTCGCATGAGTCTGTTAATACTTATGATATTATGGAATATTTCAGTCTTAACCAAATCTCTCCCCCCCATGTATCGTTATGGCTTGCAGCATTCGTCTGACAACTTATGACACTGTGAAGCAACTGATTGCATCTAGTCGCGAAGAATACGCCAACCTTGTGAAGGAAAGGGAGGCCCAGATTGGTGTGCACTGATGAATTTCTTCTGGCTTACCAAAACAATTAACAACCTTTAGGCAATTGTTCTGGAAGAAAACGTTGATGGGGTAGTATGTAATTTCTGACTACGAAAGTGTAGATCCGGACAGTGGTTACCGATTTGTCAAAATGTCCTCAACCGTTCACGGCCGCACACTTTGAATGATAGTCAATCGGTCAGGTCAGGAGTCTTTCCAATGCCCGAGCCGCTGATTTGGCATCCTCGGTGATGCACTGTTGATATCGCACAGTGCTCTTTCCTGTCTGCTTTTGGTTTGTAAAGAAAAGGAAACTGTACAGTTTCCACAGCTGCAGCTTTGGAAAGTTCGGTGGCTGCAAAAAGGGAAGGATGACGAAAGCGAAATGATGACGTGGCATCTTCGCGTCCTCAACGCCTCTGCCTTTCTCGAGGTGGACAGGTGGGGCAAGCACAGATACGCTCAGCGAAAGTTACGATAACGAGTGGAATCGGAGGCAAAGAGGAGTTTCGTTGAGTCTAGTCACACAATTTCCTATGTGTGTATGCTTTTAGTTCTGCAAACGAAGGGTTCATGACAGAATCGAGGGAGGTGCGAATGAGTAACCAAGGCTGTTCATGAGAAACCCCAGGCGAAGTCTGTTACCTCGAGCTTGTCGAAAGCTTTCTGCTCCTCCAAATAAAGCTGCCACTGATCATGAACCGCCTGCAACTGCCCTCACAAATAGAGCTCTTCTCATGAGCTCCTCTTCCCCTTGTCCTGCAAATGCCCCTCATCCATTACCGCACGGATGTGCTGTCCCTGTCATTTTGGGTTGCTACCATCGAGTTTTAGAGCCACATTTGAACACCTGGAAAGGGGTCAGGGGCTGCAGATGCACCAGTCCAGGAACGTCCAATCTTAGCTTCCTGAATTTCGATAACATCCGTCACTTCAGGGTATAAGATCGACTGTTGACTAGTTGTCCTGTTTCCTCGAAACAGCGTTGGCTCCTAGGTTGCTCAAGTTGCCTTCGGAATGTCTTCGGAATTCGGCAGCTTAAGTGAACAATCTGATGGCATGACACTCCTCTTCCGGTGTGCGTAGCCAGCAAATCCTTTGTTCCCATCCTAGTCCTCTTAATTGGCGCGCGAGCACCCTAATTTGTGTGCTCCACTTTTTTTGACACGTTTGGTTCGTTATCAAGAACCGTTATTCATTCGGCTGTCTTAAAGGCCCCTATAAGCCGAACCTCCCTCTAACAATCAGCCTCTTGAAGACGAAATCGCTAGAGCTGTAGAAGCCGGTCTGGAGCTCTATTAAACTCCTTATCATTACGAGCTTCTAAGTCATTCCAAACTCCTTGTCAGTCAGAGCTACTTTACATTTTAGGGGTTCCTTATCATTCAGTGCGTCTATCAGTCAGGCCTCCTTACCAGCCAAATCTCAGTCAAAGCTTCTTTCCGTCAGAACAAGGTTTCAGCTTAACGTTCACAGCCACCATTCACGTTTCCAGCACGTTCAGAACTACCATTCACGTTTCCAGCTTAACGTTCAGAGGTACCTGTCAACCAAGGCCCCTTATCAGCCAGCGTTTTGATATCAACTCCTCATCGTTCAGAGCTCGTTGTCGCTCAGAGCTCCTCACTGTTCAGCGCGTGAACTCTGTATCTCTTATAACACTCATTTTTCGTAACTCGTTCTTGAAGCTTCAAATAACCATGGCTGATTCGGCGAAAGCGGATTTCCTGCAAGGGGAGTTTGACGACGCCATATTCTCCATGACAGACTTTGAGGTGCGCCCGTTATAGTCACAAGTCGTCGCCATTCTTAGTATACATATCTCTTCAAGACTTTAATCAACAGCATCCGCCGTTTCGTTCCTCCCGCCTCACTTTCCCCATCTCGCCTCATCCAATCCGTTTCCCCCTCCTCCCTCATTAGTCCTGGTACGGAAGGTACGCGCTGTCTTACCTGGTCTCGTTTCTTCCTTTTTTCACTCGTCAATGTATCGTCGCCTTCATCACACACACTCCGTGCAATGACATCAGGTGTTGCCGATTTGCGTGGCTCTTTATACTCTTTTTTCATCGTTCTCTACCTGTCCATCTCCCCATCCCCATCCTCTCCCCCATCCACGGCAGAGCATCACATTCGACGCCATGGGCGACATGGGCTTGGCAGAGGACGGTCTAGCCGCAACGAGCCCCACTTTAAGTGGTGCCGTCCTTCCTTGGTTCTTGATGCTCTTGGTATTCCCCATCCACGGCAGAGCATCACATTCGACGCCATGGGCGACATGGGCTTGGCAGAGGACGGTCTAGCCGCAACGAGCCCCACTTTAAGTGGTGCCGTCCTTCCTTGGTTCTTGATGCTCTTGGCATTCCCCATCCACTCCCCCATCCACGGCAGAGCATCACATTCGACGCCATGGGCGACATGGGCTTGGCAGACGACGGGCTCGCCGCCATGAGCGCCGCATTAAACGGACTGCCCACCACGAACGCCGGTGCTGCTACAAACGCGGCTGTATCCGCTGGAACGGGGGTGCCTGTGCTGCCAGACGCCGTCCACGCGCCCAGCCAGCACGAGCCATGCAACGACGACATGGTCTTCAAGTCCTATGGACATGGCAGCGAGGCTCGCTTTGGCCTTCAGCCCCTGCCTGCTGGTACTGCTGGTGATGCTGGTGCTGGTGCTGGTTCTGCTTCTGGTTCTGCTGCAGCTGGTGGTTGTTCTGCTGCTGGTGCGTCCGGAGCTGCTGCAGCTTCTTCTGGTGGTGCCGTTTTGAGGGGTGCTCCAGGCTCGGTGGCAGGTGCAGGAACCTGTAACGCAGGTGGTGGTAACACATGCTCGGGTATGTGTGTACCCGGGAGAGAGAACAAGGGTGAGGCGCTTGAGGGAAGGACAACAGGAGAGGTGAAACCGAGAGCCCCAATCGCTAAGTCAAATCTAAAACGGGTCTTTGAGCCTGCCTATATGGAGGATGGCGATGGTGATGGGGTTGGGCTTGAAGGTGGTAATATCGTGAGCGCTGGTAACCACATGAATGTTACAGCAAGGGAGCAGCAAGGGGGGAGGGTAGAAGGAGTGCACGTGGCAGGCGCTGCTGTTGCCACGTCATCACCTCAAGGATCTAATGACAGCCACACGATGAGCTCGTCTCCTCCGTCGTCCTGCAAGCCACTGCCCTCTCAGGCTCACGGCTTGCCTCACAACCACCACCAACAGCAGCGGCAGCACCAGCATCAACACCAGAACCAGCACCAACACCATCAACAGCAGCAACAGCAGCTACAGCAGCAGTACCAGTACCATCACCAGCAGCAATTGCAGACGCAGCAGCAGCAGCAGCATGTGTCGTCCTCTGGTCTGTCTGCGTCTGCATCTGCTTCTGCTGGTCAAGTCCAGGACGGAGGGAGGGTGGTGAGCCCGTCAGTCTCCCACAGCAGCAGGCACGGCAGGCAAGCGACAGCAGCAGCAGCAGCAGCAACGCAGCAGCAGCAGCAGCAGCAGCAGCAGGCGATGTTGCATCAGCAATCATTGTCACAACAGCAATTGATGTCGCAGCAGCAAGCTATGGCACAGCAACAAGCGCAGCAGCAAGCTATGTCCAGACATGCCTTTCAGATGGCATCTTGGCAGGGGCACATGCAAGGCTCAATCAATCCGTCGATGAAACAAGAGCAGCTTGAGGGGACGCAGATGCTTCAACCCGGAGGTGGAGGAGGAGGAGGAGGAGGAGGAGGAGGAGGAGGAGGAGGAGGAGGAGGAGGAGGAGGAGGAGGAGGAGGAGGAGGAGGAGGAGGAGTAGGAGTAGGAGACGGGTCAGGAGCAGCAGGAACAGCAACATTGACATCTCACCTAGTGCCAACCGCAGCCACCACCACCAGCACCGCCACTGGCACCACTCTCCCCGCCCTCCGCCCCATCATGCCCCCTTCATTGCGCGGCCTGCCCAACCTCCCAGGCCTGCCGCCGCCCTTTGTCTTCCCCCCCGGCATGCTCCCTGGAAACGCCACTGCCGCTGCGTTGCCACGCCCCCTTGCAGTGGGGAGCGTGGGGAGCATGGGGGGAATGGGGGCCATGGGGGGGATGGGGAGCATGGGGGGAATGGGGGGGATGGGGAGCATGGGGGGAATGGGGGGGATGGGGGGCATGGGGGCGGGGAGTGTGGGCGCTGGTGTTTCTTCCCTCCCTGGTTTACCAGCGCTTCCAGTTGGCATTGCACGCCCTTCAAGAACAGCTGCAGTTGGGAGCCGAACTTCTCCTGCTGTTGGTGCTTCTTCTGGCGCTGCTGCTGGTGCTGCTGGTGCTTCTGATGGTTGTGGTGGTGTTAGTGCTGTGGGCGCAGCAGGGAGAGCCAGTCCCGTTGCTGCTGCAAGCGCGGCAACAGCAATGGAAGCAACAACAGCCACAGCAGCCGCTTCTGCAGCAGGAGCAGCAGCAGGAGCAGCAGGAGCAGGGGCAAGCAGCAGCAGGGCTGGGACCTTCTTAAAGACAGAAGGGCTCGAAGGGGACACAGAGCTATGCAGTCACAGGGTGGTTAGATCAGGATCCATAGGAGGGGGGACAAGAGCAGGAGCAGCCGGAGGAGCAGGCAGAGCAGCAGGCCACTATAAACCATCGGGGGGAATCAGACGAGGGGTGAGCCTGCATGAAGGGCTGTCAAACATGCGCTCCTTGCCCCCTGGTTCGCCCGCAGTGGTTCTCTCTCCCAGCGGAATCGTGCTGCAATCTCTGGCGTCACCTGCACCGAACGCGCCCTCACAGTCCCCAGGAGCGCCTTCTCCTCGCTCCGCCCTGCCCCCGTCACCTCGGTCCGCCTTCCCCCCTTCGCCTCGTTCCTCCATGCCCTCCCAGTCGCCCAGAGCTGTGGGACTGGGTAGATCTGTGCCTGCCTCCCCCTCTGCTGTCCCTGTGCCTGCTGCTACCAGCACTGCTGCTGCCAGTGCTTCTGCCGCTGCTGCTATGGCTGCTGCTGCTGCTGCTGCTGCTGCGGCGGCTGCTGCTTCCGGCCCCTATGCAAAGATGCGCCGAGTTGCCTCTGCCGGACAGCTGTCGCATTCCCATTGGTCAGCAGCAGTTGCAGGCGGACAAATGGATGCGCATGCACACATGTGGCAGAGGCTTGGGGCGGAGCTGGGGGGATGGATGGCAGGTGGAGGGGGAGGAGGAGGGGCAGTGGGGGGTGCTACTCAGGCTGCCGTTTTTGCCACTCCTAGTGCTTCTGCCCGTAATGCCACTCCTACACCTGGAGTTGCTGCCTCTGGTGCTTCCAGCACCTCTGTTGCTGCAGCTGTTGCTGCTGCTGCCAAAGCCAGTGGTACTGCGCCTGCCATGGCTCCTGTATCTGCTGTGGCAGCAGGAAGGCAAGGCACAGGAGCAGCAGCAGCGGCAGCAGCAGCAGTGGCAGGGAAGGGAATGGCTAATGGGTGCGCGGGTGGGACTCATAGTGGGGAGGGAAGCACAGGGGAGCAAGGGGAGGAGGCACAGGGCAGGGGACAGAGAGGGGGGGCAGGCGATATAAGAAGCACAGGCAAGGCAGGAGGAGGGGCAGGAGCTGGGAGGGACGGAGCAGGAGGAGGAGGTGCAACTGGTGCTGGGGTATCAGGTAAAGGGCCTGATGGGGCAGAGAGCACACGTCGCATTGCGGGTAACCCAATCATGCACGTGGGCAGTCATGGCGATGGGGATGGGGATGGTAACCACAGCAATTGCGAAAGTGGCGAAGGGGACACTGGTGATGGCGAGGATGGGGAAGAAGATGAGCTGAAGCCCCTCCCATCCCCCATCCTGCGGGCCCGAAGGGCCATGGGCATGGGCGCAGGCATGGGGGCAGGCATGGGCATGGGTATGGGCATGCACATGGGTATGGGTATGGGGATGAGCATGCAGAGAAGCTTCAGCAGCCATGCGTTGGGTCAGCTGCAAATGCAGCATTTGCCAGGCCTCCCGCCGCTCCCCCCTGCAGCAGCAGCAGCGCATCTGGCAGGGCAGCATATGCCCGTGGGCATGGAGGGAGGGGTCATGGGCATGGGCGAGGGTTTATCAGCGGGAGGGGGAGGCGCAGCTGGGATGAAGGGCAGGATGGGGGGGATGGGGTTGCAAGGTGCCTCTATGGGTGGTGGTGGTTCTGGTTCCGGTGGTGCGACTGCTGCTGCAGCAGGCTTGTATGTCACTGGTGCTGCCAGCGCTAGTACTGCTGCTGCCGCTGCTGCTGGTGGCACTGTTGGTGCTGCTGGCATGAGTGTGGTAGTAGGGGAGGGTATGATGGCAGAGGCAGCAGCAGCAGCAACCACAGCAGCAGCAGCTGCAGCAGGCTTGACAGGAGGATTTGGCGGGGGTCATTTAGCAGGAGTGGGGGAAGGCATGAGCGGCTTAGCAGGGATGGGAGGCGGCATGGGGGCTCCAATGCTGCCGTCATTCAGCAACATGAGACGAGCTCACAGCACAGGCGATATCCAGGTACATACCAACCCAACCCCTCCCTGCATTAGATTAAAAAACCAGTCATCCTCTCCTGCATGCTTCTTCACTCGAGCATCTTATAAACCCACCCTCACCTCAACCCACCCCCTCCCATCCGCCACCGCCCCTCCCTTCTTTTAGTCCCTGGCAGCAATGCGTTCTCTATCCATGGAATTCGGCCACCTCCCAGCTCCCCCGGACACACTCCTGTCTCAACTCCCTGCCTCCATTAACCACCCCCCTCCACACCACCCCCCTTCCTCCCTCCCGCTCCAACACGCCAGTCCCTGGCTGCAATGCGCTCTCTAGCCATGGGCTTCGGCCACCGGGCTTCGGCCACCTCCCAGTTCCACCTTCAATCAATCATCTCCCGTCCCCTTCCCCCACCCCACCTCCTTTTCTCCCCACACTTCCCCTCCATCTCCAACACGCCAGTCCCTGGCTGCAATGCGCTCTCTAGCCATGGGCTTCAGCCACCTCCCAGTTCCACCTTCAATCAATCATCTCCCGTCCCCTTCCCCCACCCCACCTCCTTTTCTCCCCTCACTTCCCCTCCATCTCCAACACGCCAGTCCCTGGCTGCAATGCGCTCTCTAGCCATGGGCTTCGGCCACCGGGCTTCGGCCACCTCCCAGTTCCACCTTCAATCAATCATCTCCCGTCCCCTTCCCCCACCCCACCTCCTTTTCTCCCCACACTTCCCCTCCATCTCCAACACGCCAGTCCCTGGCTGCAATGCGCTCTCTAGCCATGGGCTTTGGCCACCTCCCAGCACCACCTGGAGCGGCAGCAATGAGTCCCTTTGATGACCGTACCGGCATGGGACTGGGCATGGGCATGGGGGCAATGGGCATGGGCATGGGGGCCATGGGAGTGGGCATGGGCATGGGAATGGGCATGGGCATGGGGGTGTTTCGGATTGGGCGGTATACGCTGGAGGAGCGGCGGCTGCGGATCATGAAGTACCGGCAGAAGAGGCATGAGAGGAACTTCACCAAGAAGATCAAGGTGGGTTGCGGACAATTTGGTATAACATTATTTCAAAACTCGCCTGCACTTCTGCACCAGCATCAGCCGGTGTATATATATATATATATATATATATATATATATTTGTTGCTATTTTTGCAGTCAATATATCCTTCTCTGTAGTATCCTGCCTTACCATTCCTTCAGCAGCCAGTGGTTCTCCTCTGAAAAAAAACTCCCCTTTTTTTTGCCACTCCTGTATTCCGTTCCCCGCCCCTCATACTTCCTGCATTTTCCCGTTCCTTCATTTGTGCATGCATTGGTTGCATGCAACCCGGCGTGCGCATGAGCAGTACGCTTGTCGTAAGAATCTGGCCGACAGTCGGCCGCGCGTGAGAGGGAGATTCGCACGCAACGATGAGATTGAGGAGGTGAGACGATGTGTGCTTTTCAGGTCTGTTTCCCCGCTTTCTGTGCATGATTCTTCATGATCAACACCTCTGTTTTGCCTTAATCAGGGCACACATTACAAGTTAATTCTGCAAGCTCCTCCAGTCTCTTTTCCCCCCCCCCCCCTCCCACTCCCCCCCGTCCCTCAACCTCGCACTGAGCAGCATGAGCAACAGGATAAGGATAGTCACAGTGGGGATGGTGCTGATGCTGATGGTGCATGCGCTGATGCTGACGTGGACATCTCAGGTCCACATGGCACGTCATCGCATGATATGTTGCCCACATCGCATGCTGATATGTTTTCAGCAGAGGACTTTTCTGACATGCTTTTGGATGGACCCTTTGGGTCCGATGCGTTTTTTGACATTGACCCTCCAGCTGGTCGTAGCAGCACCTGAGAAGAGAACTCTCATTGAGCAGGTGTGCTGCTTCTAGGTAAGTAATTTTGTTATGGCAACTTCTTTGCAAATGAGGAGCTGCTTTGTACAGTTTGAACAAATGTGCAACTATTATTGCGCCGGCCCTGTCATTTGAGTTTCATAGCAAACAAAGAGTGTGTAATTGTCTTGGGCGGCACATTGTGGTGGAGCCTGATGGGTTTATAACCTTGTATCTTGTGCAAAGACTCTAGTACTGTACTGGTTCTCAGTAACTTGGACAGAATTCAGGCTCATAGTGTGTGGTGCTTCGCTTCCAATAACCCATATATCGCGTACACTGCAGCTAATGAGCATCGCGATCTTTCTAGAGTATGTATCACACAACCCTGTCACTCCACTCCACCCCGTCACTCCGCCCCGTCACCCTAGAAAATCGAGAAATTCCTCGAGTGCCAATGCAGCAAAGCTAGCCATTTTGAGCTACGCTGGCGTCAATTTCCAGCTTCGCCTAGAATCTTCCTTGTTTTTTGCTCTATACCCTATTGGACGTGTCGCTCTTCCATTGCCAGCTCTGCTGTTCCAGACACATCGTGTGCATTCAAGAGCCATGGCGGCCGCCTTGTTTTCGGAACTTTCGTACATTGTCAACGAGCCGCGTTTGGCCGTGGTCCTATTATCCGTTGGTATAAAACATGCGAAGTTCCACCTGAGTGTCATCAAGAATTGAATCAATACAAGCGCTCTTAGTATCAACGCTCTCGCAAATCACCTTCTCGCCCGCTATCAGCCTTTTTGTAGCTTCACACTCGACTGCGCGAGTAGACCATGGCGCTCACACCGTTCGGCAACGATCCGCTGTTCAACTCGCTTCTCCGGCTGTCACACATTCCAGACGAGTTCAGCACTCTTTTCGACGCTCCGACATCCAAGTTCGTGAGGGACAGCAACGCGATGGCGTCAACAGCCGTTGACGTGAAAGAGACTCCCGAGGCTTTCAAATTCATCGCGGATCTCCCGGGACTGAAGAAAGACGAGGTGAAGGTTCAAATCGAAGATAAGAATCTGCTGACTATCAGCGGCGAGCGGACTCGGGAAGTGAAGGAAGAGACGGAGAAGTATCACCGCGTGGAGCGGAGCACTGGTAAGTTCTTGAGGCGATTCCGTCTTCCTGATAACGTGGAAGTGGATAAGATCGCTGCGAGCTCGGAGAATGGTGTGCTTACCGTGACTGTGCCGAAGCTCAAGCCCCCCGAGCCGAAGAAGCCGGCTATTGTAGATATTCCCATCAATTAAGGTTCAATTTACATCTATCATTGGGTGGCGGTGATGTGCTTGTTAGGTGATTTTAAGTTTGCTGGTGTGGGACGTCGCAATAGAACGTGCATGATTATGTGTAATAATGAGTCCGATGTATTACGTAATTCAGTTTCCGTGGAGCCTTTGAGTGTTGAACCTTGGGGTATCGCTTTAGAGCCATGGCGTCTAATAAGACGCGTGATGTGGATTTCGGAAGTGAGGGTGGTGACGGCAGGGCAAGAGATGGGAGTCATATAGGGCAAGAGGATGGATGTCTGGAGCAAGTTTTTGAATGAAGCTCGAGAGTCTGTTTGAGAGTTACGGAATTCGCGAGGTTTTGCAATTGGCGAAGGAAACGGCGAATCAGATACTGTAACATGATATTTTCCAAATTTGCACGAAACCGAAACTTTTCAGTCAAATTACGACGTCTTGCAGAATGTCGTTCGTCGTTACTGATTCGGCAGGATCGCCAAAAACAAGGGTTTCCTCATCGAAACCTGGAAAATACCGTATTGGAACGCTTCGCACCGAGATCTTGGAACATGCATTTAACCGACCCTTTCTGTAGTGACATCCTACCCTAACCACCACACCAAGCCATACCCCAATTGAGATAGATCAGGCGAACGCCAACCAACCACATTGGTCTGATGGATCTGCTTCTTCATTGCTATGGTTGATGTGTCTTGCTTCCAGCTTTGCTCCTAGAAACTGTCGACTGTTGTCATAAAAATCGTTGCTAGGCGTGCTGTTGTACCGCCTAATCTTTCTGGGTCGGCCGTATGATGGACGATAGGTATGGCCGGTCAGGTATGGCTGACCGGAGGCACGAGTTTGTGGATCTGGGAACGGAGGAGCGGAGAATATGGCCGACGAGGAAAGGCGACGAGGAATCGTTAAGGATAGAGGCGAGGACGTCGGCATATATTGCAGCGGATCCTTTCGGTCGTCCGACAATTGATTTCGACCAGGGTGGGTGATTCTTCCGCAGTTCCTCTTATATTTACCGCTTATGATGCCTCTCTCATTTCCTGTTATTTTTATGTTTCCGAAATGTTGATACTTCTGCTGTAATAACAGGTAAGGAGCCGCAAGGATCGATGGATTCCATGGTGTGGATATCGAACCTTCCGAACGACGTCAGAGAGCGAGACATCGCTTCTCTCATCGGAGAAGTTGCTGAAGTTCAGGTGCACTTTTGAAGTTCCTAAATGCACAAGTTGTTTCTCTTTTCCGATTTTTCGGTTTTTTTTTTTTTTCCAGCTTGTTTATATCTAATCTATCTGGAAATTTTATATAATGTCTGCCAATGCGTGCAGATGGATCCTGAGACGCGTGGACTCAAGACAAAGCTCCATTTTAACGGAAGGAATGGTGTGGTGGCGGAAGTGTGGCTTCAGAAGCCAGGATCAGACCAGCACGTCGTCAAGTGGTTCGACGGTGCGTGACGTTCTCTTTTTTTTTTTTTGTCTGTTTTTATCCAGTGAAGATTGGCACTAGCTCGGCCTCTTTATTCCGACCGTGTCACTGTTTGCATATGTTTCCGCTGTCCAGCCTTTTCTTTGTTCTTCTGACGTGCAAGTCTAATATTATTTTCTTGTCATTGCCCCTTTTTTTTCCGTTTACCATTGCGTGCTGCAGGCTATGTATTTCAAGGCCTTCGCATGAAAGTTACATTGGATCCTCCACCAAACTTCACGTCCGCTTTCAAGCCAGATATTCCCATAGTAGCCGTCGACCGCCTGGCTTCTTCCGCTCCCGAGCGGCTGAGTGGGTTCTCAGATCGTCCTGGTATGCCGCTTTCCGATCGACTCGGGTTACCTGTCGCGGATCGTCTAGGGTTACCCGTTACAGAACGGCTTGGTGGTCCTGTTACCGATCGGCCGGCTGGTTCCGTTTTGGACCGCCTTGGGAGGCCGGCAGGTTTGGTTTCAGGGTCCCCCATTGGAGGCCCACGCGGTCCGGTTACAGATCGCCTAGGAGGCTCGGTATCAGACCGCCTAGGAGGCTCGGTACCAGATCGCTTCGGAGGTTCGGCAGCGGATCGTCTAGGCTCGTCGGGCTCGGATCGCCTCGGAGGACCTCTTCCGAACAGGCTGGGTTATGGCTCTTCAAGGGCGGATGACGTGGCAGATGGGTACGGGAGCAGCCGCAGGAACGCAGAGAGCGCGTTGGACGCGGGTCGCAGGAGCAGCTTCGGGGAAGATTCCGACTTGGGCAGGTTGCAGCAGCTTCGGCATGACATGGGGCTGCAGCGGCGGGAGCTGTCGACTGGCGGAACGCTGCTTGCCGTCCGCGGAGCAGGGGACGATGACTCGGGCGGAGGTGGCGGAATGGGGGGAAGCGGCGGGATGGTTGGGAGCGGCGGGATCGGTGGGAACGGCGGAATGGGTGGCGTTGGCGGATTGAGTTGTAGCGGAGGTGTGAGTGGTGCTGCTGGGATGAGTAGAGGGGGAGTTGAGACCTACGGCGGACGGGGAAGCAGCGATTTTGATCGAAAGGCATCCCCACCGTTGAATGCCGTCGGGTCACCACCGGCGGGCGCAGGAAGCGGAGCAACGGGGCCGCGCGGAAGCGGATCAGGAAGACTTAGGCGACTGGGCTCTCCCGACCGTTATTCATCACGGGAAGATGCGCGGGATGGGGGGAGGGATCTGGGGAGAGACGGCGGAAGGGATGGAGGGAGAGACGGCAGAAGGGATGGGGGAAGAGATGCGGGGAGGGACGGGGGAAGGGACTTGTATGGCAGAGGATCGCCGCGCGGAGGACCGATTGGGGGAATGCGGGAGATGGAGCAGCGGCGGGGGGAAATGGAGGGATTTGCGGAGCAGCAGCGGATGGAGGAGCTAGTCGCTGCGGGCATGGGGCTCGCGGGGCTTCCGCCGGCGGCGCATGTGGCCGCCGCGCATTTCGGCGCGCGCATGGGCATGGGCGGTGGGTTCATGGGGCCGCGCGGGAATCCGAACGTGCAGCCGCGCGAGGGAGATTGGATTTGCGTCGAACCCATGTAAGAGATCAGTCGGGGAATGGGAGATGGCAGAAAGGAACGTGCATGTTGAGCCTTCCGACACAGGTCTATCAACGTTACAGGTAGATGAGGGTTACAGGTGAACAAGGGTTACCGCACAAGTGGATGAGGGTAGATTAGGATGACCTTTCGGGGAGCCTTGGTGGAGCTCAGATGCTTGCTCGGCAGCTGCATTGGCTGTTTTTTTGGCAGCTGATTTTTTTCCGCAGCTGATTCTTTTGCAGCTGTTTTTTTGCAGCTGGTAGTGTCCACAGCTGTTCCTTTTGCAGCCGATTCTTCTCTAACTGGTTTGTTGGCAGCCGAATTGGGTGGCTGGTGGCAGCTGAAGCAGGTGGGTTAGGAAAGCTGATCTGCTTGGTTGTCAGTGAAGCTGGTCTATTCGGTGGGTGCTTCGTGTGGGTCGCGACTTACAGGTTTCCGTCAGGTTTCCAGGGGTTGTTGTTCAAAGTTGGGGGCACCGTGTACATAATGTGATTCTGCAGCCAGCAGCGTTTGCCTGGGAAACCCTGACTAGCAAGGCTGCAACTCTCTTTGGTACTGAAGCCGTGTCATTCTTTGGTTGATGGTGCCACGTTGGTCAGGAGACATGACTCAGATCAATACCCTACCCTTGTGCCGCCTCCTGGCTCCTCCTCCTCCGCCGCGTGCAGGTGCGGCAACCTCAACTTCGCCCGCCGAGTCCGCTGCCACCAGTGCGGCATGCCTCGCCGCGAGCAGCCGCCCATAGTCCCCATGCCCTTCGCGCCCGACCTCCCCATCCACCGCATTGGACCGCCTCCGATCCCGCTCCACCCCTTGGGACCCATGCGAGGCGCTGGCGACGGGCCAGGGTTTGGTATTCTGGACGGGCATGGGTTCCCCGGGGGGCACTCGGGGAGAGGAGGCGGTAGGGATGGGGGATTTCTGCCTGGCGGCGGTGGTGGCGGGGGTGGTGGTGGCGGCAGGGAGTATGAAAGGAGTGGCAGCGGCAGGGGGTATGATGGAGAGGGCGGTAGGGGGAGTGGCCGCCGGGGGGGGTATGATGAACGGCCGAGATCTGGCGACGGTGGGATGTTGGAGGAGAGGGGCGGCGGAGGGGGGTACGATGGGGGCAGGAGAGGGGGGAGTGCGCGGGAGGAGTATTTGGGACCCGAGGGGGGGTATGGGATGGAGATTCATGGGAGGGGGAGGGATTGGATGGGTGGGAGAGAGAGAATGATGGGCCGAGGGGGAGCATGGGATGCCATGGGTGGCGGTATGGGCCATGGTGGGTATGGGGGCCGTGGGGGACGTGGGGGGCATGGGATGATGCTAGGGCTGAGAGGGAGGGATGATATGAGGCCCGGTGGCAGGGACTGGGATTTGGAGAAAGATCGGGCTCTGGAGAGGGCGCGGGAGAGGGAGATTATGAAGGAGAGGGAGCGGCGGAAGGGGAGGGAGCGGGGGAGGGAGAAGCTTGGGGAGCGGGACAGGGGCCAGGAGGGGCGGGAGGGGAGGGATCGGCGCGACAGGGGGTCTGAGGATGAACGGGAGAGGGACCGGGATCGCGACAGGGAGAGGGAGAGAGGGAAAGGTGGAGAGGTGATGGGAGGGGGTAGAGAGGGCAATGGTAGGGTGGATGGGGGGGGGGAGAGGAGGGAGGAAGGGGCAAGGCGGGTGCAGTCTCCTGAGCGGCGTGCGGTGAAGGGGGATGGTGGCAAGGAGAGAGAGAGGAGCCGCTCCCCCCGGCCTCGGCGATAAGCGATCCTTCTCCTTCTGCTCTCTGGTGGAAGTTTGAGAAGTTTGAGGTTCATGGATGGGGTCTGCACTTGTGCAGAAGAGGAACTTTCCTGAGTCTAGGCATGGGTGAAGTAGGAGCCAGGAAGAAAGCTGTTAAGCATAAGGGCAGGCAGGAGCAGCAGCAGCAGCAGTTGTGATTGGGATAAGCAGTTGCAAATCTGACTGGGATGAGTAGCAGTTGCTGAGACTTCAATCTTCAGTGGAATTGACCGCGGCAGCGTGCTTACTGTAGTTCTTATTGTTATTCTAGGCTTATTTCCCTTCTTCGGAAGGGCCTTGTTCTGTAGTACTGGTACAAGACGTTCTGTAGGGGGGAGTTTCTAGTGGGATAGATATGCGGAAGCTTGCTATGCAAGGCTGTTTATTGAGCCAGTTGAATGAACAATTGTTGTTGTGGTCTAATGAGTGGGATTCGGGTCGGATGCACTTCTGTAACAATCATCTGTAACAATCATTCTAACAGAGCAAGACAACCATACCACACCCACATCCTTCTCTTCTTGCAGTGCCAGCAGGAAACGCTCAACGATGGGGAGATGGCGAGAAAGGGTAAGGACCCAATACATGGAGTGAACCTCATTGAGCGTTGCTGCTACAGGCATTGGGGTATCATACCTTGCACGCAAAACCACTGCACAGTTCATCAAGCAGTGGTAGCAGAATTTGCAGTTCGATTGGTCATGGGTACCCACGACAGAAATGCCTGCTTCATTTTCTTGACCGGTGCGCATGTTTCCGCATTTCAGAGCTACAAACGCATGCACTACGCTGCCCAGCGGCTGTACTGGCGAGCCCCTGGCTGCTTGCAATGCGAAACCATGTGCGCTTCTAATCAAGCAGGGCTAGCAGAATGCGCAGTAAGCGGGTGCAGGTGGAGGGGGGTGTGAATGGTCCACACATGAAATACACCACGTTTCCCAGTGGCCGTGCATATATGCCGTGCTGCCGCAGCCGTGACAGGAGATCCTTGGCTGCTGATGACCCGTAGCTGTGGGGGGGAGAGAAAAGAGAGCAGAGCGAAGAGAGAAGAGAGGATGGCTTTTAAGAATACTAAAAAACTCCCTGCTGCCATGAGAGAAAGAGAGCTCGAGAGAAGAGAGCAGGAGAGAAAGAGTGCGTTAGAACTTCTTATGCCAACAAAAGGTCACAGCGTGCAATGCTACCAGGAAGTGATCACCAGTCGAAACGAAGCCCGGAACACTCACTCACGCACCAGGCAATGCTACCAGGAATTGATTTTTGAGACGTCTCAAAAGGCAATGCTACCAGGAAGTGATCACCAGTCGCAGCGAAGCCCGGAACACTCACTCACGCACCAGGCAATGCTACCAGGAATTGATTTTTGAGACGTCTCAAAAGGCAATGCTACCAGGAAGTGATCACCAGTCGCAGCGAAGCCCGGAACACTCACTCACGCACCAGGCAATGCTACCAGGAATTGATTTTTGAGACGTCTCAAAAGGCAATGCTACCAGGAAGTGATCACCAGTCGCAGCGAAGCCCGGAACACTCACTCACGCACCAGGCAATGCTACCAGGAATTGATTTTTGAGACGTCTCAAAAGGCAATGCTACCAGGAAGTGATCACCAGTCGCAGCGAAGCCCGGACACTCACTCACGCACCAGGCAATGCTACCAGGAATTGATTTTTGAGACGTCTCAAAAGGCAATGCTACCAGGAAGTGATCACCAGTCGCAGCGAAGCCCGGACACTCACTCACGCACCAGGCAATGCTACCAGGAATTGATTTTTGAGACGTCTCAAAAGGCAATGCTACCAGGAAGTGATCACCAGTCGCAGCGAAGCCCGGAACACTCACTCACGCACCAGGCAATGCTACCAGGAATTGATTTTTGAGACGTCTCAAAAGGCAATGCTACCAGGAATTGATAACCAGTCGCAGCGAAGCCCGGAGCACTCACTCTTTCTACGAACACTCACCCAACAGAATACAGTTGACCAGCATCCCAGCAATACCATTGACCAGCAGAATATCACCAGCAACTGCAACAATTAGCACCACACACTAACCCGGCGCCGTCTGGCTTGAGCTCGGCCACAAAGATTGTTCCAATAGCCAGCACTTTTGAGGAGCCCCAAACGTGACACAAGCATTCCTGGAATCACTCACCCAGCGCCATCTGTCTTGAGCTCTGCCACAAAGACTGTTCCAATAGCCAGCACGCGCTGTATCGAGGGATGGCAGGAGACCTGCTCCACTAACGAGGGGTCCCACAACTGTTGGTTGGAATGAGAGAACGGATGGCAGAGAAAGAGGGGATTGGGTTGTTTCAAACGTTCAGGGCGAGTCCGGTCCCCACTGGGCATGTTGAGTTTGGAAGGCATGTTGGGAAGGTCCGTGGGCGCACCCACGACTAGAGCCTCGGGTCGTGGGTTCTTTCAGACTAGAGCCTCGAGTTGCGGTTCGCCGCGTTGAGAAAGTACTACCGAAAAAAGCACACTCAATACGAAACACGTTCAGTATGATTTTATGACGTCAACAGGCACAAGGCTTGCTAGTACGATTTTAGGACAGCGAACAGCGCAATGTGTCAAGCAAGTACATTGCTTAGCAGGTGCAGCATCGTAGCTGGCAGGCAATGGGGTAAGTACCTCTTTTAGCTGAGAGCCGTTGGGAAGCAAGTTGGGGTTTCGAGCTGGGTCTGAAAGCGCCTTGAGAGAAACACAGGCGGCTGCACAGCCAGCAGGGTGGGCTGTGTAGGAGTGACCGTGCAAGAGAGCATGGAGCTGGGATGCATACGGGAGGGAGTAAGCAGGAAAGCAAAGTGTTTGAGAGACACACAAGCAAGCAGGCGCACAAGTGGTAGCAAAGTGTTTGAGAGATGTGTAGTAGTGACTGTGCAGCAGAGCAACGAGATAAAAGAGATGTTTTGAGACGTCTCAAAGCAACTCTTTTATCACGCAGGCGCACAGGTGGCAGGATGGAGAGGTGTAGTAGTGACTGTGCAGCAGAGCATTCAACCGCAATTGAATGAATACCATTTACATAGATATACATATTTCAAGCGCATATATTTATACGTATCTATGAAAAAGGAAGTCAAGCTGTGGAGGATAAGCTAGCAAGGACCACTGAGTGCGTAAGGAGAGGGAATGGGTGGAGGAAAACGAAATCGATTGCTGGCAGGAGAGAAGAACAGACTGGTCTGGATAGAAAATCTCCAGTTATGAGCAGCTTCGTTACGAAAATACCTTGGAGGAGCCATAGAAGGCGTCAAAGACAGAGGACGAGGCGAGCGTGACGGCCAATGGGATCATGCCACCTGTCAGCAGCTTGGCGTAGCAGGCTATGTCCGGGGAACAGCCCAGGAGCTCCGCTGCTGACTGGGAGAGGGGGTGGGGGGGGGGGGGGGGAGTGGGAGAGAAGAGAATGAAGGTTGTTGACTCGACTTCATAATCAACCACATGGCGTTGCAGGCTATGTCCGGGTAACAGCCCAGCAGCTCTGCCGCTGACTGGGAGAGGGGGGGGGGGTGTGATGGAGAGGGGGGAGGGGTGGGAGAATGGTGTAAGGGATTGAGAGGAAGACGGGGAATAAGTGAAGGGAAAAGGTGAATAGGGGTTGTTAGGGGGAAGAGAAAGGATACTATTTTAGTTGGCAAATGAAACGTCATTTGGAGACTGACGTGGAGAAGGACGGCAGAGGGACGGGGTGGAGAAACAGGGGAGGCAGCAATTCACTACCTACCAGAGGGCTTTTGAAGGGTATTTTTGAGAATTCTCAAAAATACCCTTCAGCAGAAGGACGGCAGAGGGACGGGGTGGAGAAACAGGGGAGGCAGCAATTCACTACCTACCAGAGGGCTTTTGAAGGGTATTTTTGAGAATTCTCAAAAATACCCTTCAGCAGAAGGACGGCAGAGGGACGGGGTGGAGAAACAGGGGAGGCAGCAATTCACTACCTACCAGAGGGCTTTTGAAGGGTATTTTTGAGAATTCTCAAAAATACCCTTCAGCAGAAGGACGGCAGAGGGACGGGGTGGAGAAACAGGGGAGGCAGCAATTCACTACCTACCAGAGGGCTTTTGAAGGGTATTTTTGAGAATTCTCAAAAATACCCTTCAGCAGAAGGACGGCAGAGGGACGGGGTGGAGAAACAGGGGAGGCAGCAATTCACTACCTACCAGAGGGCTTTTGAAGGGTATTTTTGAGAATTCTCAAAAATACCCTTCAGCAGAAGGACGGCAGAGGGACGGGGTGGAGAAACAGGGGAGGCAGCAATTCACTACCTACCAGAGGGCTTTTGAAGGGTATTTTTGAGAATTCTCAAAAATACCCTTCAGCAGAAGGACGGCAGAGGGACGGGGTGGAGAAACAGGGGAGGCAGCAATTCACTACCTACCAGAGGGCTTTTGAAGGGTATTTTTGAGAATTCTCAAAAATACCCTTCAGCAGAAGGACGGCAGAGGGACGGGGTGGAGAAACAGGGGAGGCAGCAATTCACTACCTACCAGAGGGCTTTTGAAGGGTATTTTTGAGAATTCTCAAAAATACCCTTCAGCAGAAGGACGGCAGAGGGACGGGGTGGAGAAACAGGGGAGGCAGCAATTCACTACCTACCAGAGGGCTTTTGAAGGGTATTTTTGAGAATTCTCAAAAATACCCTTCAGCAGAAGGACGGCAGAGGGACGGGGTGGAGAAACAGGGGAGGCAGCAATTCACTACCTACCAGAGGGCTTTTGAAGGGTATTTTTGAGAATTCTCAAAAATACCCTTCAGCAGAAGGACGGCAGAGGGACGGGGTGGAGAAACAGGGGAGGCAGCAATTCACTACCTACCAGAGGGCTTTTGAAGGGTATTTTTGAGAATTCTCAAAAATACCCTTCAGCAGAAGGACGGCAGAGGGACGGGGTGGAGAAACAGGGGAGGCAGCAATTCACTACCTACCAGAGGGCTTTTGAAGGGTATTTTTGAGAATTCTCAAAAATACCCTTCAGCAGAAGGACGGCAGAGGGACGAGGTGGAGAAACAGGGGAGGCAGCAATTCACTACCTACCAGAGGGCTTTTGAAGGGTATTTTTGAGAATTCTCAAAAATACCCTTCAGCAGAAGGACGGCAGAGGGACGGGGTGGAGAAACAGGGGAGGCAGCAATTCACTACCTACCAGAGGGCTTTTGAAGGGTATTTTTGAGAATTCTCAAAAATACCCTTCAGCAGAAGGACGGCAGAGGGACGGGGTGGAGAAACAGGGGAGGCAGCAATTCACTACCTACCAGAGGGCTTTTGAAGGGTATTTTTGAGAATTCTCAAAAATACCCTTCAGCAGAAGGACGGCAGAGGGACGGGGTGGAGAAACAGGGGAGGCAGCAATTCACTACCTACCAGAGGGCTTTTGAAGGGTATTTTTGAGAATTCTCAAAAATACCCTTCAGCAGAAGGACGGCAGAGGGACGGGGTGGAGAAACAGGGGAGGCAGCAATTCACTACCTACCAGAGGGCTTTTGAAGGGTATTTTTGAGAATTCTCAAAAATACCCTTCAGCAGAAGGACGGCAGAGGGACGAGGTGGAGAAACAGGGGAGGCAGCAATTCACTACCTACCAGAGGGCTTTTGAAGGGTATTTTTGAGAATTCTCAAAAATACCCTTCAGCAGAAGGACGGCAGAGGGACGGGGTGGAGAAACAGGGGAGGCAGCAATTCACTACCTACCAGAGGGCTTTTGAAGGGTATTTTTGAGAATTCTCAAAAATACCCTTCAGCAGAAGGACGGCAGAGGGACGGGGTGGAGAAACAGGGGAGGCAGCAATTCACTACCTACCAGAGGGCTTTTGAAGGGTATATTTGAGAATTCTCGAAAATACCCTTCAGCAGAAGGACGGCAGAGGGACGGGGTGGAGAAACAGGGGAGGCAGCAATTCACTACCTACCAGAGGGCTTTTGAAGGGTATTTTTGAGAATTCTCAAAAATACCCTTCAGCAGAAGGACGGCAGAGGGACGGGGTGGAGAAACAGGGGAGGCAGCAATTCACTACCTACCAGAGGGCTTTTGAAGGGTATATTTGAGAATTCTCGAAAATACCCTTCAGCAGAAGGACGGCAGAGGGACGGGGTGGAGAAACAGGGGAGGCAGCAATTCACTACCTACCAGAGGGCTTTTGAAGGGTATTTTTGAGAATTCTCAAAAATACCCTTCAGCAGAAGGACGGCAGAGGGACGGGGTGGAGAAACAGGGGAGGCAGCAATTCACTACCTACCAGAGGGCTTTTGAAGCGCCTCAAATAGCTGAGGGAGCCCCAATACAAGCCCAAGTGGAAGCCCCCCACTTAAAGCCCACCTGGGAGCGAGGCACCAGCAGCCACCAAGGGCCTTGTCAAAGACGACTGGGATGGCATGGGCGTGGCAGCGAAGGTAGAGATGTGCCACCCTCCACCCCACAGCACCGTTAGACACACCACACTGGCACTGCAAGCCCACCCACCTGGGTGCCGAGGCGCCAGCAGCCGGCAAACACTTCGTCAAAGATGACTGGGATGGCGTGGGCGCGGCAGAAAGAAACGCACGTGCCACCCTCCACCATCCTCCCTTCCCACCCACCCCCCAGCACTGCAGCCTCACCTGGGTGCCGAGGCGCCAGCAGCCGGCAAAGACCTCGTCGAAAATGACAGGGATGGCGTAGGCACGGCAAAAGGAGACGCGTGTGCCACTTTCCACCCCGCAGAACCGTTAGACACACCCCCACTGCAAGCCCACCTGGGAGGGCCCGCTCACCTGGGTGCCGAGGCGCCAGCAGCCGGCAAAGAACTCGTCGAAAATAATAGGGATGGCGCGGGTGCGGCAGAAGAAGACGAGTGACATGAGGAACAAGCTTCCCCCACCCTCGTCCTATTAGCACTCGAACCCACCATGGGACCCACCCCACCCCACCCCACCTGGGTGCCGAGGCGCCAGCTGTCGGCAAAGACCTCGTCGAAGATGACAGGGATGGCGCGGGCGCGGCAGAAGGAGACAAGCGTGCGCTGGAAGAGCGGGTCGATCATCACCATGCCGCCCGCCCCGTGCAGCACTGTAGCAGTACCGGAGGTGGCAGGGGAGGGGAAAGGGCGGGGAGGGAAGAATTGATGTGGTGGTGGTGGTGAAGGAGAGGGTTCTGAAGTGCCTGAAGAGACGAGTTTGCGCTGGAAGAGCGGGTCGATTATCACCATGCCGCCCGCACCGTGCAGCACTGTGGCAGGAGATGCAGGGGAGGGGGAAAGGAGGGGAAGCTGTGAGGGGAAAGCGGTGAGGAGAGGGGGGGGAGGGGAAGTCCTCTGAGGTGCAGTATGTATTCACGTGATAAAAGATTTGTTTTGAGACGTCTCAAAACAAATGAATTGTAGGCAGTAGGAGGTGAAATGAATCAGGACGAAGCAGGAGGTGATGTCAGGCGATTCTTCAGGTCCTTGTATCAGCAGGTGGATGTGATGTGATGTGATGTGATGTGATGTGATGAGCAATAAAGACGAGACAAAGAGGCTAAAGCGTCTGATGAAGCGGCTAAGGCTTACTGGAGGTGTCTGATAATCTGAAGATGTCTGATAATCTGAAGATGTCTGATAATCTGAAGATGTCTGATAATCTGAAGATGTCTGATAATCTGAAGATGTCTGATAATCTGAAGATGTCTGATAATCTGAAGATGTCTGATAATCTGAAGGCGTCTGATAATCTGAAGATGTCTGATAATCTGAAGATGTCTGATAATCTGAAGATGTCTGATAATCTGAAGATGTCTGATAATCTGAAGATGTCTGATAATCTGAAGATGTCTGATAATCTGAAGATGTCTGATAATCTGAAGATGTCTGATAATCTGAAGATGTCTGATAATCTGAAGATGTCTGATAATCTGATAAAACGTCTCTTGGGTTCCTTCAAAACCGCAGACGTACCTGGTTCGATGATGAGTGCGGCGGCCATGGCACCTGAAAAACCACCTGAGGGGCCACCTGAGGAGGAGTCTGAGGGGAGGAGGAAGGGCTGAAGCTGTTGTTGTATGTAGTCATGGTAGATGGGGGCGAGAGGAGTGGAGTCCCTTTCCTTGTGGAAGACTGCTGAGCGTGTCTGGAAGAAGAGGTTGTGGGTGGAGGAGGAGGAGGAGAGGGCGGAAGGCAGGACAACGAGCCATTGACCTTGGGAGTACTCCACTGTTGGGGGATCAAGGAATACGCCCTTGCCTCCGTACCTGTGGGTTGGAACATGGGAGAATCAGAGCAACTATTTTTTTTTTTTTTTTTTTTTTTTTTGTCTAGCACGATCACAAAGTCAAGGAATCAGGAAGAGAAACTATCCCTGTGTTAGAAATGTAACAAACCCATGTCATCATGGCAAGTCAAAACAGAAAAAAAGGCAATTTTTGTTAGTCAGCCAACCGTTCGCGTTGGTTCATGACATGGCACACACCACAACTGCTGACGTGGCAACTACTCACCATGGCTGCTGCTGGAAGGAGGTGCACGGGGAGGGTGACTGGGCATGCATGGCTGCCAGCGTGTCACCATGGTACGAGCCAGTCAGAGCAATCACCTGGTGACACGTGGCATGGCAAGGAAGGAATAGAAAGTGCTAGAAGCCTAAAATGAATCAAGGCTCCACTACAAGTGATGGGACACGGGCATGGGGAGGGGACTAGTGAGGCACACACTACAGTAATATGTCATGATAGCACGAATGGGACAGGGTGACACGAGCATGGCACATGGTGACACGAGCATGGCACATGGTGACACGAGCATGGCACGTGGTGACACGAGCATGGCACATGGTGACACGAGCATGGCACATGGTGACACGAGCATAAGAAGCACCTGGAAAGCGACAATTACTCGTGCTTGACTTAAGAGTCACCTGAGTCTGAATGGAACGCACCTTGAGATCGGGAAGACCATCGGGTGCCACGCCGTTTTGAGAACAGAAGGAGCGAAAGGCCATCTTGAGAGCCACCTCGATGGCTGTGGAGCCATTGTCTGAGAAGAACACCCGTGAGGCCCATCCTGTGCAGTGATGTGCGGTGGAGTGGGTTGGTGTGAGGTGAAATGGGGTGCAAGGGGGTTGAGTGCGGTTGTAATGGACCATTTTGAGAGCAGCTTCAATGGCTGTGGATCCGTTATGTGAGAAGAACACCCGGGAGGCCCATCCTGCACGGTGGAGTGCGGTGGAGTGCGGTGGAGTGGGTTGGTGAGAGGTGAGATGGGGTGCAAGGAGGCCCACCCTATGCTGTGCGATGGAGTGCGGTGGAAGGAAGTAAAGGGGAGTTCAAGGGGGAACGAGGGGGTGGTATAGGAACCATCTTCTGGGTGAGCCACCTCGATGACTGAGGACTTGACGTGTGGGAATATTCCACTCTCCTCCAGCGCGCACACGCATCAATCCCCTGCATGCCGTTCCCAACCCCTTCCTACCTCTCCCAACGCCCTTCAGCAGCAGTTCAGCCGCCTCAAGAGCCAGCGGGTGAGTGTTCTCAGGGAACATGACATGACCGTATCGAGCCATGGCCACCCCTATCTCCCTTGATAGCTCCGCCTGCACCACAGGGCCCAGCCCCTGGGTCCACCAGCTCGCACACCCGTCAAACCACTCCTCCAACCGAACCTCTTCCCGAACCTCCCTCCGAGGCTCGACCCGAGCCTCCGACTCGCCCGCACTTCCTCGCAGAGCCTCGGTCTGGTTCGATCGGAAGACGGAGAAGTTTTCGCCTGCCCGGGAATCGATGACTGTCACGTCCTTCACTCCCACCATGCCATGCTGGGTGAACGGCCACCAGAGAATTTCATGTGCCCGTTCAGCTGCCCGTTCCAGTGCCCGCAACCTCTCCCAGTGGAACCGCTCCAACACTAGCACAAGTTCCTGGAAGCTTCCTCCTGCTCTGCCGAGCCAGTCGATGAGGTTCGGGTTGAGCGTGGAGTAAGATGAGGTTTGGAACGAGGTAGTGGGGCTTGAGGAGGGAGAGGAGGTGAGAGAAGGAGAGGAGGGTGAGCTTGGGTCAGATGTGGGTGGTGGGGATGGGAGGGCGGGCAAGGAGATGACTGGAATCCTGCAACAGGGATGAAGGGGAAAGAGTGGAGGGGAGAGAAGGAGAGGAGGGTGAGCTTGGGTCAGATGCGGGTGGTGGGGATGGGAGGGCGGGCAAGGAGAGGACTGGAATCCTGCAACAGGGATGAAGGGGAAAGAGTGGAGGGGAGAGAAGGAAGGAGGAGTACAGGGAAGGAGGAGTAAAGGGAAGGAGGAGTACAGGGAAGGAGGAATTGTCAAAGATGTCATGTTGATATGTAGCTTTCACACTATTGAAACATCTCCATTGCCTCAAAAATCATGTTGATATGTATCTTTCACACTATTGAAACAATTTCCACTCACCCACCTCCTTTGAAGACACTACCCACTCACCCTCACCCCCTCCCCTGTAAAGAGGGCAGTGATTGATACTACCCACTGTTCTCTCTCCTCCTCTCCTTCATCCTTTTGAGGCGCCTCAAAAACGCGAGACATGAGACCACTTATGAGGCGCCTCAAAAGTCACCCCCTCCCCTGTAAAGAGGGCAGTGATTGATACGTCACCCATCCACCCACTGTTCTCTCTCCTCCTCTCCTTCATCCACTCACCCTCTTGGTCTTAGATATGACTTTAGATAATCTGCGTTATCCAGCCGTCCCTCCTCGTCCCCACACACCACCACTGCTGCCACGTCATACCCCCGCCCTGCCAGGCTGTCAACCGCTGCTACAGTGACCGAGATGCCGCCCAGCCGCCCGTCTCCCACCAGAATACATGGCAGGCGGAGGGGTCTGGCGCGGAAGGGGGCGGATGGGGGAAAACATGGGCGAGACGGGGCAGATAGGGGTGGAAAGAGATGGAAGGCTATTGATTTCTGGCTATGATTGTAAAGTGCTACGCTTCTGAATTTCTGAATTAACCAAGGCAAAGAAATGACGAATTGACAAGAGACGGTTTCAACTCTGGTTGCGCTTCTGAATAGTGTTGGAGTATCTGACATGATGTATGCAAAGAATAAGCAAGAAAAATAGAACATCTCCCCCACCTGTACAAATCAGCCTGCAGGGTTCCCGAGGGCCCCGGGCTTGCCACACCCCCTGCTGTCTCAATCAGTATCCATCTACCACTGCTGCTGCTGCTGCTGCTGCTGCTGCTGCTGCTGCTGCTGCTGCTGCTGCTGACGCTACTGCTGTCCCTAGTACTGCTGTCGATGCTGCTGCTCCTACTGCAGCTAACATACGATCTAACAGCATCCACCACGGCAGCATCTGCAGCCTCCTCCCCCGTCCCTTCTCCCCCCGCCTCCCCTACCTCTGCTCCCCTTCCCTCCCCCTCGCCTCTCTCTGGAAGTTTTAGCACAGCTGCCCGGCTTTCCCGGGCAGCCAGGTGGGGAGAAACAGGGTCCTTCCAGGCCCATAGGGTGGAGCAGGTGAGCGAGACTGTGGGGCTGGGTGACTGTAACGAGGGGTGATTATGGGACTGGGAGCGTGTTTCTGTAGAGGGCGAGGGGAGTGAGAGGAGATGGTGTGTGTGGTGGAGGGGGCGTCAGAGTCGTTAGGGGAATGAAGAGTGAAGTGCAGGGACGAAGAGCGGGATGTAGTTGTGATGTGAGCACTACCGTCACTGCTGCTGCTGATGGTATTGTTGCCGGCGGTGGTGGCAGTTGTGCTGGCGTCACTGCCACCGCTGCTGCCGCTGCTGCCAATGCAGTGTGCTGCAGCCAGCATAACCAGACGAGCATCCGAATCTGGACATATGGTGCATTCACACAGGGTAAAGACACAGTTGATGTACAGGATGAGGGCGCCTAAGTGCATGGAACCCAGCGGAGGATGGAACAGTGGCAAATTCTTCAGAACGTGTGCAGGCGACCACAAATAAATATAGCTTTAATTAACCCTAGAGTCACTACTAGCTCACCTTCAGGGTACCCTGTCTGCAGTGGTTTCACATACTCCAAATGGAATCCCCCGCCATTCCCCTCATTTTCCCCCTGCACACCCCTTCCCCCGTCCGCTGCGTCCCCTTTACCTCCCCCGCCCCCTTCCGCGCCCCTTCCCCGCGCAGCTCGCGCAAGCAGCGCGACAGCAAGGCCCGCGGAAACGAGGGTCTTCCCCACGCCTGTGTTTGCGCCCCACACCACGAACGCGGGGGACGACAGGGAGGTGGCATCTGGGGGAGGCGGGATCTGCCCCGCTGGAGCTGGCGCTGCTGCTGCCGATATCCGGTCCGAATTCGCCACCTCGCTGGGATTCGCAGAAGCTGATGCGGTCACGAAATTCCGCGAGTTTGAACGGAGCTTTGAACTAAAATGTTTGTGAAAAGCGGAATGGCGGCAGTGTCCTCGCTGCCATGGGGAAGAGACGGGATTTGTACAGGGGAATACGCAACTGCCATTCCTGACCACCGCGTCGCTTCCAGCTATTCCGCTGGCGAAATTCGACGCCCTTTTTAACGTCGCCAGTCTTGCGGGGTCTAGTTGAATACAGTGGTGCGTGCGACAGGCGGAAGGGCATATACGGAGCTGGGAAGCTGAGCCGAGTCCTTCCCGAGACGCGATATTCGCGGTGGAAAGAGCTGCTGACGCTGACGTCGCCATTGTCACCAGCGCTGCGATTGGCGCTATGGCTGCGAAAGCTGAGAAGCTCAAGGAAGGGAATCGCGGAGGGAACGCGGACAGACACAGAAGATGACGGTCTGTGGGTTTGCTAAACGAAGTGTCTGTCTGAACGAAATCCCTCAAGCAGCGTAGCCCATCTGAAGATTCAGAACTACTGAACTGGATTTCTGGATTCTTACTCGGCTGGCAGATTCACGCGACGCGCATCGCAATAAGCGCGTTTCGCGTGTCCTGCGGGGCCTATTGCGTGAGGTGACAAGATCAAGTGCACTTCCTAAAGATTTTTAGCAAGAGGAGGTCACAACAACCCTGGGATGGTCAGAAAATGGAATCCATGAGTGGAAGAAGAAAATGGTCAGATCGCGACGGAGGAATTTGGGATACAATCGAGGTGAGGGGGGACGCAGGTAGGTCATTGACGTGATCTGTCAGTCCGATTTCGAAATATATTTTCGCGCCAGCCGCCAAACTTTGAGGGCTGCTGCTGACGCACAAAGCACCAGCTTTTCCACGTCACGCTTGGATGCGACCAGTGGGTTCCATGTCAGTTAGCTGAGTCACCGCCAGCTCAACCATTCTGGAACCCCCTTCCTCGGAAAAGCATACGCGATTGTGAGTTTCTTTCGCTCTCTCTAACGAAGTTGATACATGTCCTCCTTGTAGGGCCAAAGTAAATAACATATTTAGGTCTCTCCCATCCCGTTCTTTCCAGAAAAATCCCGAGTCTGCTTGCTGTTGATTTCTCCGCAAACCTGCAAAACTAGAAGCTCGACCACTTCATTATCGCTGCTGCTCGAAAGCACCAAAAACCGTAGCAGATGCGGACTTCTGCTTCCGTGTGAGACGCAATTTTCCGAGCCACGTACTGGTCCCATTTCGTGGCAGTGGCATTATGGAGGACGGTCCGAGTAAGATCCGGCGAATCTGCGTCTATTGCGGCTCGAGCTCCGGTACCAACCCCGTCTATGGCGAAGCGGCAGCGGAGCTCGGCCGGGAAATCGCGGCCCGGGGATTTGATTTGGTGTACGGTTCAGGTAGCATAGGCCTGATGGGTATAGTCGCGCGAACAGTGCACGAAAACGGGCGGCATGTGCTAGGGGTAATTCCCCATGCGCTCGTGCCTCTGGAGGTATCTGGGCCGTCCGTTGGCGAAGTGCGGTTGGTGCGAAACATGCACGAGCGAAAGGCGGAGATGGCGAAAGCAGCTGACGCGTTCATCGCTCTGCCAGGTCAGCAACGATCGCCACTGCTCTGTCAACTCAACATTCGCCATGGTCATTGTCGATCGTTGCGCTTGACACATATTCAACTCGAAACCCGCAATCTCATCTGGTTCTTCCTTCGCTTCCTGTCCTCCACTCCCCGTCCCCCGCGTCACTCATCCTGTTCCCATCCTCTATCCACCCCACACCTTCCATTCCAATACGCGTTCCGCAGGTGGGTACGGCACGCTAGAGGAGCTTCTAGAGATGGTAACCTGGTCGCAGCTGGGCATTCACGACAAGCCGATCGCCGTGCTCAACGCCAACGGCTACTTCGACTCGCTGCTCGCCTTCTTCGACCGCGCCGCGCAGGAGGGGTTTGTGAACGCGACGAATCGCAGCATCGTGATGTCGGGTCGCACGGCCAAGGAGGTTCTGGATTTGATTGAAGCGTTTAATGCGGATAGCCGAGGCGCGTTGCTGGCGAAGGAGCGGTGGCATGGGGACGAAGGTTCGGGATCCGTGAGTGATGGGGTGACGAAAGAGGAGATGGTGAAGGCCGTTGTGGAACCCTGATCTGCTGACCCCTCTTGAAGTGAACTCATTATTATTTCAGATTCTTTCGTCGCCTGCCTAACCAGTTGCAATCTTATTCTGCAAGGACGCGGCCAAACATTACACTAAAAAGGATTGTGAAAGCCTCTTACATTACAAACAATAGAAACAGTAAAAACATTCAAGTTAAGCCAAAACCAGGAAAAACAAACATACGGATTTGTGAGACACATGAGTGCTAGGAGAGAAGGGAATCCTAGTGTTGTTCAGCGTTGTCTCACATTCCTTCCGCGTTCACACGGCCGCAGGGAAAAACATGGAAACAGTTACCTTCTCACCCATATCACCAGTACCCCAGACATGCGGAGGCAACCGGCAGATCCCCTCAACCACTCTCAACCGGCCAGAGCTCCTCTCCACCATTCCACCAGCCGCAACTCTCTTCTCAACCATTTCACCCGCGGTTCCTGAGGTGAGGAGGAACCCACTTCTTGGCTGCTCCTGCTGCCGGCACTGCTTCTCCTGATGCTGCTGGTGGTGCTGCTGCAGGGGCACTCGGCCTATCCCGCTCCCTCTCGCCGGCACGAGAAGGAGGCTCGTACCTTCCTGCCGGCCTCCTGTCATCCACCTCCCTCGCGCGATCTCCCCCCCACCTCCCCCCGTCTCCCGCCCCTGCTGCACCTGCACTAGCCCTGACAGGAGGAACATATTTCCCAGGTGCCCCAGTTGAAGCAGCACTAGCAGCAGCAGGAGCCCTGTCCCTGGACCACCGATCCTCATCCGCGCCTGCACGTCCGGACGGCGGAGCCTCGCCGGCTGCCGAGCCTCCGGCGCGGGCTCGGAGGGCTGGCGGGACAAAGGCAGAGGTTTTGCGCTCGGCAGCAGCGGCAAGAAGCTCCTCTCGCTCCTTGCGGGCCTTCTCCTCGGCCTCCTGCTCCCTCTGGCGTTGCTTCGCTGCCATCTCCTCTAGCTTCCTCAGCCGCTCCTCCTCCTCCTTGCGCTTGCGCTCCAACTCTGGTGGGTTAAGGGGTGAAGAGAGAATGCAGAGGAGATGGGAGGGAATGCAGAAGGGATGGAGAGGGAATGCAGAGGAGATGCATGGAAAGGAGTGAGTGGTTATGGAGGGGATGGAAAGGAGATGGAGAGCGGATAGGGAGGGGATGGGGTAGGATGGGAACAGGGAAGGAATGGGGAGGGTACGAAGAGGGGACGGGAACCGGATGGCGAAGGGAGGGAAAAGAGAAGACAGAGAGAACCCGCACTCACCTTCGCGCTTGCGTCTCTCAGCCTCCTCCCAGGCCTTGAGCGCCTTGGCCTCCTCCTGGCGGCGGAACATCTCCCTCTTGCGCAGCATCACCCTCTCCGTGCGCCTCAGCTCCCTCAGCTCTGCCAGCTTCTCCTCCCTCTCCCTCTTCAGCCTCTCAAAATCGCCGCGGCGACGACCCACGACTTGCTCCTGGAACTCCTCCTGTGAGGGAAACACAGTGGAAGGAGGGGCACGGGGAGCACAGTACAAGTGAGGAAGATTATCAGGTGACTGAAGCTGCCCCTCCATCACCCTCTCCTCCCTCAGCTCCCTCAGCTCTGCCAGCTTCTCCTCCCTCTCCCTCTTCAGCCGCTCAAACCTGCCGCACCGCCTACCCCACCACCTGCTCCTGGAACTCCTCCTGTAGAATTAAGCATACAGGGGTGGAGAGGTGAAAAGGTAAAAGATGGAATTCATTATCCCTCTCAAACTCGCCCCACCACCTCCCCACCACTTGCTCCTGGAACTCCTCCTACTGTACTGCCCTCTCACCTTAGGATGCAGGACAGGCGAATCTTCTCAGCGAGGTCCTGCTCGTGCTGCGTCTTGCTCTTCCCTCCCACTTCCAGATTCCCCCTTGGCCCTCCTCCGTCCCCCGTCCCCTGTTTCCTGTCCAGTCCCCCTCTCCCCCCAATTTGCCTACCTTATCCCCCAGCATGCGGGACAGCCGGATCTTCTCAGCCAGGTCCTGCTCGTGCTGCGTCTTGCTCTTCCCTCCCACTTCCAGATTCCCCCTTGGCCCTCCTCCGTCCCCCGTCCCCTGTTTCCTGTCCAGTCCCCCTCTCCCCCCAATTAGCCTACCTTATCCCCCAGCATGCGGGACAGCCGGATCTTCTCAGCCAGGTCCTGCTCGTGCTGCGTCTTGCTCTGCGCAGCTGCCTCCGCCTGCTGCTGCTCGAACCACGCCCGCTCCTCTACCAGCCTCTGCTGGTACGCCGCCTCCAGTAGGGGCTTCTCCTCCTCCCTGCGCGCCCTTTCCAGGTGATCCAGCGTGCGCACCTGGGAAGGAGGAGGGGGGAGAACGGGAGGGGGGATAAGCTTTAGCAAACCAGCCACCAGCACAGCAGCCACAAGCAGGCCTATGCCTGCTGCTGCTCGAACCACGCCCGCTCCTCTACCAGCCTCTGCTGATACGCCGTCTCCAGTAGAGGCTTCTCCTCCTCCCTGCGCGCCCTTTCCAGGTGATCCAGCGTGCGCACCTGAGAACGAGAGGGAAGGGGGGGGAGGGGGGGGGGGAGGGAAAGGAGGAGGGGGGGGGGGGGGAGGGGGAGAGGCGGAACAGGAGGGGGGGGGAAGAGGCGGAATGGGAGGGGGGCGAGACAGGATGCATCTGCCTACAACCAAAGGCGGGCAAACTGTCGAGCGACGGAGAAGCCACTCGCTCAGTGGACTGCATATCAACATACCTGCTCGCTCATTCACCACACCAACATAGCTACCCTGCAGTTCAGACTGCCAAGCAGCAGCCCATAATGCCAAGACCATCAAATCACAGCACAGCACTCCCCCTCACCAGCTTCTGCAGGCGCCTCTATCCCTCCTGCTTCTCCTTGAGCTGCTCCGAGGGCGGCGAGGCACCTCCAACCCAAACTGCACCTAAGCGAACCTGACTGCCACCAAGACCACCACATAGCAGCCCTCTCAACTCACCAGCTTCTGCAGGCGCCTCTCCGCCTCCTGCTTCTCCTTGAGCTGCTCTGAGAGCGCTTCTTCCATAAGCTGCCTCTTGTCCAGCCGCATCGTGTCCTGCTCCGGCGAACATGAGCAGCAAACAAGAGGGGGCACAAGGGGAAGAAGAGAAGAAGGAGAGCTGGGGCTGTGAGTAAACTCACTCGCTACTCTCCTCCCCTTAACCAGCCACACCGGGTCCTGATAAGGCAGAAACTTTTGAGACGTGTCAGAAGTGTCCTGATAAGGCAGAAACTGACTCCAAACAAAGTCAGATAGGAAGGGCGGAAAAAACCTCCACTCTCCCTTGTAAAGCATCAGAACTTGAACTACGCCCATGTGCCAGACCATCCCCACCCCACTCACCTCGAGGTTCTTCTTGCCCTTCTTGCCCTTGCGCTTCTCTGCCTCCAGCAGCAGCTGCCTCGCCTCCTCCAGCTCCTTCGCCTCTATCTCACGCCGAATGCGCTCCTCCTCCCTGCGAGCCGACTCTGCTGCCAGCCGCTTTGCCTCCGCCTCCTCTGTGAGCCGCTGCTGCTTCAGCTTAGCTGTCTGCTCCTCTCGCTCCTGGGAGAAGGGAAACGGAGAGAAGGGTGGTGGGCGAAGAGGGGGGGAAGGGAATGAGCCAAATCACAAACCGATCTCTATGCTTTGTGAAAAGTCTCCAGAACCAAACTCCCGCCAAACGCGCTCCTCCTCCCTCCTGCTTCAGCTTTACCGTCTGCTCCTCACGCTCCTGGAAAGGAAAAAGGAACCAGGGGGGGAATGAGCCACGGTGAAAGAAGCGTAACAACTCCACACCATCATGTCCCCTTGTAATTTTAAAGCCAGATTCCAGCTTTCTCCTACGCCGCACCCTTCTCTCACCTTCTCAATGACCTCCCGCTCTGCCTCCTCCTTGCGCTGCTCAATGAGCGTCTTCCGCGCAATCAGCCGCCCGTGCTCCTTCTCCACTGCCGCCTGGACACACGCACCCTAACCCCTTCACCCCTACAACCCCAAACCTTAACCCCAAAACCTTGGCGCACTCACCTTTTCAATGACCTCCCGCTCTGTCTCCTCCTTGCGCCTCTCAATGAGCGTCTTCCGCGCAATCAGCCGCCCGTGCTCCTTCTCCACTGCCGCCTGGACACACGCACCCTAACCCCTTCACCCCTACAACCCCAAACCTTAACCCCGAAACCTTGGCGCACTCACCTTTTCAATGACCTCCCGCTCTGCCTCCTCCTTGCGCCTCTCAATGAGCGTCTTCCTCGCAATCAGCCGCTGGTGCTCCTTCTCCACTACCACATAGGCACAGGCACCCTAACCCCTGACCGTAACCCCACCCATGACTCTAATTCTAAACCCTGCCATCCTCACCTTCTCAATGACCTCCCGCTCTGCCTCCTCCTTGCGCCTCTCAATGAGCGTCTTCCTCGCAATCAGCCGCCGGTGTTCCTTCTCCACTGCCGCCTGGATCTCCTCCGCGGGGGGAAGCTGCTCGGCGGGTTCCACAGCAGGCTCGGGGGACTTGAGGCGGATGAGAGCCACGGCGCGGTCGAGATGGCGGGCCATGGTGGCCAGGTGGTTGCGAATGCGATCGGACTCGAGCTCCTGTTGAAGGATACGCAAGGAACAGACAAGGACAGCAGGAGAAGGGGACAGGAACAGCAGGAGAAGGGGACAGGATCAAGGATGAAAGGGTGCCTTGAGGGGGATGAGGGCAACAGCGCGGTAAGGGTGCTTTTAGACGTCTCAAAACTCAAAGAGGCGAGACATAGTGGCGAGGTGGTTGCGAATGCGATCGGACTCGAGCTCCTGCCGAGAAGGAAAGGGCAAGTGAAAGGTATACGAGAGGGGGGGACCGAGGCAAGAAGGAGAGGAAAGGAGCAGGCCAGCCAGACGAGAGGCACAAAGCCCTCCCGCAGGTGAAATCACGAGCCATGGGCGCGAGATGGTTGTGAGTCTCACAGTCCTTTCACACAAGTCCAGGCAAAGGTGCACGAAGCCCTCTCCAACTAATGGGCCTCCTGTGCACCGCCCTCAACATCTTGCTCTCCCTTCA